ATATAACACACTGTGTTTATGCATTCATCCTTTGATGAACATTTTGAGCTGTTTCCATCCTTTGGCTGTTACAGATAATGCTGCTATAAAAATTCACATACCAGTTTCTGTGTGAACATGTATTTCATTTCTCTTGGGTTTAAACCTAGGTATGCAATTGCTGGGTCATGGTGACTCTATGTTTCATCTCTTAAGGAACTGCTTCACTGTTTTCCAAAGCAGCAGTACCACTTTGTATTCTCAAAAGTCATATATGAGGTTCTCATTTCTCCACATTTTTCCAATGCTTGTTATTATTTGACTTTTGAATCCTAGTTATCCTAGTAGATGTGAAGTGGTAGCTCATTATGGTTTGAATTTGCATTTCCCTGATGACAAGTAATATTGAGTATCTATTCATGTGCTTATTGGTCATTTGTATATCTTCCTTATAGAAATGTCTATTCAGATCCTTTGCCTATTTTTTAAAAATTGTACATAATTTTGCATAATATAAAAATTATGCTATTTGTATTGGGGGAAAGAGAGTGATGGACTGACTGATGGCTTAGTCAGTTAAGTGGCTGCCTTAGGCTCAGGTCATGATGCCAGGGTCCTGGGATCAAACCCCACATCGGACTCTCTGCTCAGAGGGGAGCCTGCTTCTCCCTCTCCCTCTGCTGCTCCCCCTGCTTGTGCTCTCTCTCTCTCTGACAGATAAATAAAATCTTTAAAAAAAAAAAGAGATAGATGGACAATTGGAATCATAAAAAACTTTTTCTATCTATATGCTGAATAATTCTGTTCTGATACCCATTGCTCTTTAAAATATCCAAAAATTCAGTGACACAAAACAACGATTATTTTTTAAGCTCCCAGATTCTGTGAATCAGGAATTCAGACAAAGCACAGCAGGACAGCTTGTCTCTGCTCCAAAATGTCTGGAGCTTCAACCTCAGAATACTTAGACGGCTGAATATGACTCAGATGGAAGGGCCTGGAATCAGCAAACAGATTCTTTACTCACAGATCTGTCACTGGAGTGGGGTGATTAAAAGTCTGGGCTCAGTTCAAATGGCTGACCAGATTGCCTACATGTGGTCTCTTCATGTGGCTTGGATTTCCTCACAGCATACTGATTTCAAATTTGTCACACTTCTTATAGAGCACTCAGGACTCTAAGAGAAAATGTTCTAGTGACTAAGGCAAAAATTGCATGGCTTTTTAGGACAGCCTTAGAAGTCCTATAATGTCCTTTCCACTATAATATATTAGCTGAAGCAGTCACAAGTCCAATCAGCTTCCAGAGGAAGGGTTGCAGACCCCAGATCTCAATAAGAAGAGGGTTAAAGAGTTTGCAGCCGCGTTTCAAAACTGCCCTAGACCCCGAGAGATCCTCGTGCAACTTTAGACAGCAGATTTTCTGTATTTACATAAACTTTGAGTATTTTATACATAATATGTGCTGGTAAGGTGAATAGTAAAAGTAAACTCTGACTACAAGGTGTGGTGATTAGGAAAATGTGCCTCTAAAATCTCTGACTTAAGGGAGCCTGATCGGTATGTAAGGGCAAATACCAATTAGAATGAGAGGTTTAATTCTGTCATCATGCACTGAAATAAAGTTCTCAGACACCAATCTGAGCAGCCGTGCAGGGCTGCCTCTGCAAGGGAGGGCAGCAGCTGCTGAATCCTGCACATAGCTTTTATTTTGCTTTTTATCAGAAAAGCAAGGACAGATGCCTCCAAGCATGGGAAAGGAGTACAAAGGGATGGCAAATATCTTGAAGCAGGCTTGCCTTCTTCTCTACGTGTAGGCATGCAGGAAGTCAGTCATGGGATAAGGGAGGAGTAGTATGCTTGGGCTGGCAATCACCAGGTGCAGAAAGGGGGGGCTGAAGGTCACATTCTTTCATAGCTCCTAACTCATGCCCTGCCCCTGGGGATCGTGGGATCCTGCTCCTACCTCGCCATTGCGTTCAATAGCCCGAGAACAGGAACACTGCTGACGTTTCAGCTGCTTCCACAGTTACCCCTGAGGGCTTACAATATCTCCCAGTTTCTATGGGAGGACGGGAGCCTCACTCCAGCGAGTGCCTGACTCCCAAGTGGCAAAACCACCTCCTGTCATAAATATATAAATTTACTTTTCCTTTGTAGAAAGCCAATTAACTAACATAGATGGTCAACCCAGTTACCAGGTAAATTGAGGATAGACTGCCTATATTAAACAGTGTTGCCAAGTCTTCTTCTTGAGGACTAGTTATTGTTTACCTTGAGAACATATGGATTGTATCTGTTGCACTATATAAAAGGGTGAGAGTTCTTTCTGCTTTTGTAAGTTGCAGTGAGGTGCATCTGATTCTGGTTTATTGCTTATTCAATAATAAAGCAGTGCATCTGATTCTGGTTTAATGCTTATTTGATAATAAAGCAGCTTTCTTTTTCTGTTACCTTTGTGGAGAGGTTTTCTGAGTTGGCAGGAGATTTTGCTTTGAACAGCCGGCCTGCCGATGTTCCTAGGCTCTGCAGCCCTTCCAGGAGCGGCTCCCAGCCAATGACCAAACTGGGCAGAGTGTCAATGGCAGGATCATTCCCACGACGCTCAGGACACCTCTGATGGGCGCCATGGGCTTGCAAACTTCCACTGGACTTCTTGAAACTCTCTTAGGACTGCACTGCTACCCAAGACCTACCTTCTTGCCTGCCTTCTGCCTCCACAGGGCTCAGACTTACATGTAGTGTATAACATCTCCCGCAGCTTGATTTTCCTACTCCCTTCTTGATTTTTCCATTCAGGCATTTCCCCTGCTCATTTGCTTGCTTCTCAGAGCAGCCAGACTGAGTCACTCTACTTTCTGGATTGGCATTTACTGTTTCTAGCTTATGACGAAGGTGAATCAATCAAAAAATGTCTAAATCTTAAAGAAAAAAAAAAAGACATGGTAAAAATTTTGTAAAAATCTATCTCTAGTCTGTGTTTTAACGAACCAGGATTCAAGTCCTAATGAATAGCTTTACATACAAATTATAAGCAATGTCATGGCCTCAGGTAATATGCTATCTACCTTGAAAATCACTAGCCTGGATCTTGAGAGAGGTTTCCTCAAGGATAACTAAGACTTTGGGAGTGTACTGGAGGCATTCTTCTCTTTGCCAGTGGATATCAAAGTACAGGAAAAAGAAACGTATTGAACATTAAGGCTTTGGATCCACAATTCTCTAATTTACATATGACTTAATTTACAAATCAGTGGAGTACTGAAGACAGAGATTTCCTATCAGCAGTCATGGCAAGCACATTTAAGAATATACTTACGATGATTTTTGCTGAAGAATTCATAATAGGGCTTTTGGGAAATGGATTCATTATATTGATTAACTATATTGATTGGATCAGGAGCTGGAAGTTCCTCCTGATTGACTTTATTCTTACCTGCTTAGCTCTTTCCAGAATATTTCTGCTGTGCTAGGCATAGGTGTAGATATAATTTGTGAGGAAATATGGTACAATGATAATCCACTGATGACTTTTTTGAAATCCTCTGGACAGGGCGCCTGGGTGGCTCAGTCGGTTAGGCGGCTGCCTTCGGCTCAGGTCATGATCCCAGGGTCCTGGGATCGAGTCCCGCATCGGGCTCCCTGCTTGGCGGGGAGCCTGCTTCTCCCTCTCCCTCCGCCTGCCTCTCTGCCTACTTTTGCTATCTCTCTGTCAAATAAATAAATAAAATCTTAAAAAAAAAAACCTTCAGACAGGATCCAATTATTTCTGCACAACCTGTACCACCTGCCTCAGGGTCTTCTACTTTCTCAAGGTAGCCAACTTTTCCAATCCCATTTTCTTCTGGATAAAACAGAGAATTCACAGACTGCTTAAATTATTGTCCTGGGGGTGCTCTTCTCTTTCTGCTGTCCCTGCTTTTTAAGGATACAGTATTTAAGAACCTGATCAAAACCAGGGTAAACACTGAAAGCAATCGGACATTGAATTTCACAGTGAGAAAATATGATTTATTAACGTCAAATATAGTCCTGAACATAATGTTCATCATCCCCTTTGGGGTGTCTCTGGCTTCCTTTGTCCTTTTGATCGATTCTTTATGGAACCACGCCAGGCGGAGGAAGGGCACAGGTTCTGGGGATCTTATCACAGAGGCCCATGTGCAAGCCCTGAAGTTTGTGATTTCATTCCTACTCTTCTTTACATACTACTTGAGCAATATTATAATATATTTGGCCGATATCAGTCTAGACGGTTTGGTGGCAAAAAAGTTTGCTAATATGTTAGTATTTTCCTGTCCACGTGGCCATCCATTTCTTCTGATTTTATGGAACAGCAAAGCGAGGGGGGCTTCTCTCTGTGCCCTGAGGAAGGTGAGGTGGTGCAGAAATCTAAGGAAACCCACCTAGCCATAAAACATACTGAAATGACTGTGATTTTTCTCAAGAACGAAGATCATGAATAGAACTCCATGTACATTTCTTTCATTTCTCTCAACTTCTTTTATTCTGTTCTGTGGTAGGTCACTGAACCTTACTGGAAATATCTGTCTAGAATAAGGTAAAAGAAAAATATTTTGCTATGTTTCCATCAGAATAATGATGGTATAATTAATAGTAATATTAGAATATATCACCAAGACAATGGGAATTTGACGAGATACAAAAACAGACTTAGGAAGATAGAAATTTACTTGTGTCTAGATTACAACTAAAAAATTAAGTGTAGCGAGTCTCAGACACAGAAAAACTCCAGAATTCATGAAATGAATGTTTAAAAATTCTAACAATTTATTACCCGTGGCTGATGGCTAACCATGACTTAAAATTGTATTTGGGAAAGAATGAACATGGAATGAACTGGTATGACAAATTTTTGGCTACTATCCAGAATATGTGCCTAGAAGTTCAGTTGCAGAGCCGATGAGAACCCTACTATTTCTTAAACATATGCCAAAGGTTGTCTCAAATAAGTAAATGAATGAATAAGAGAGAAAAACTTATGACTTAGAAAATACAAGGTATGCTCACTGCGGCCACACATATACTAAAAATTGGGATGATACAGAGATTAGCTAGGCCCTGTGCAAGGATGACACGCAAATTCGTGAAGCCTTCCATATGTTTTTAACTTCTTTCGTTTGTACCATTCCTTCAAATAAAGTAATTTGGTACCCCTCCCCCCGCAAAATACAAGGCTCAAAGTATAAGGTACAGTAGAGGTTATTTTGTGGGTAAAAAATACAGAAAATACAATGCAGAACAGTTTTACATTTTTCTCATTCCTCAGGTATGGGGCCAGTTTGGGTAGTAAGTATTACTCATTAATACTGGGTTATCATGTATTGGCAGAGATCACTTGCTTTTTTTCCCCCCAGTAAATAAAACTTTATTTTATTTATTTCACCTTTTGCTCTCATAGATGTTTTAGTTTTTAAGCAAGAGGATTTGGGTTTACTGTTTGACTTTCCATTGGTATATGAGAAAAAATGTATTTATTTTTCAGAAATATGTTGTTTTAAAGGTCTACAGAATATATCATAGAAAAATAAATAGGGTGGAACTAATTTTTTTTTTGTTGAGATGTAACTGACATATAACATTGCATAAGTTTGAGGTATACAAGGTGTTGGGTGGATACAGTTATATATTGCAATATGATTACAACCGTGATTCATTAGCTAATACTTCTACCATATTGCATAATTATAACTGTGTGTGTGTGTGTGTGTGTGTGTGTGTGTGTGTGTGTGTGTGTGTTGAGAACAATTAAGATCTGGTCTCTAAGCAGCTTTGAAGTTTATGTTATGTTGTTGACTATAATCACTATGTTGTGCATTAGACCTCAAGAACTTATTTATCTACTAGTTGCCGGTTAAACAACAATTTCCCAGTATCCTCAACCCCAGCCTCTGGTAACCACCATTTTACTCTCAGCTGTTTTAGATTCCCCAAATAAGTGATATACAGTATTTGTTTTTCTCTGTCTGACTTATCTCACTTAGCGTAATGAGTGATCACTTGCTTTTGGTTCCTTCCTTGGGGAGTTTAATTTAGATACGGGATACCGACATTTTAAGAGGGTAGAATATACAAAAGGTTTGTGTAGGTGAGATATAAATGCAGCTTATTTTTAAAAAGTTGGACTTAGAAGCATGAAAGCAAAAAGCAAATTTATTCTTTCTCATTATAGCTCCTACAACCCTTTTTGTTGTCTTTTTCCAGGATAGAACCTTAGGTGGAGCCCACAGCTGCTATAGTCACTCATATATTAAGTCCAATCCAGACTAAAACCAAAGCTTAAATCTGTCCTTTAATATCAAACTTCTCTCCCTCACTTTTTTCAGATCCTATTCAAGCTCGAAAATCTGACATAGGAAAGGTTGTTTCGTTGCTGATTCTTGCTCTTCTCCTCAGTATTCATGCTATTTTGGTTTCTTTATGATTGCAAAAGAGTTGGGTGATAGCTAGTGTCCCCTATAGCTCTCTCTTGGTTAAGGAAAGCTGGTGATCTCACCAGATATTTTAATGCAGACTCATTCTTCTGTAGGCATCTATGTCAGGGGTCCCCAAGGCCACCCTCATGTTTGATGACTCAGAGAAATACTCAAGAATTCTGAAAAGCTGTTATAGTCACAGTTATCCTTTATTATAGTGCTAGAGAAAAAAGAAAAAAGCATTGATAGATCAACAATTGCTTGTGCTGTGTTAATTTACTCCAATACAGATATGATCTCTGAAACAGTAGTCACAAACTGGGTGAGAGACTGTGGCACTCTTTTGTAGCAACCTAAGTTAGGATTTTGATCACAAGAATTGAAATTTTTTCTGTGTTATATAGCTTAAGCAGCATTTTAGTGGGCTGACACCCTTCTTTCTGAAAGTTTGAAGCATCGATCTTTATTGTTGCAATTTATAAATTTCCCCAAGATATATATGTGGCATTTGCTCATTTGTTTTTTAAATTTTAAAATAACAATATGTAGGCACGTATTGTAGGCACGTATTGTTATCTATACGTCTCTTCATTATTCTGTCAGAATTTTTATTTCTTATTTCTTCTGAAATATTTTACATAAATTATTAGGCTGGAAATTCCAGTTCACTAACTTGATTTTTGGGAGTCTACTCTCTAATTTAGTACAACTATACTGATAAAGAAACGGATGTGATTTTAATTCCCAAGGATTCTGTTTGCCATTTTATTAGAGGATAATATTATTGGTGTATACTTACGAAAACCTATCAAATTACTCTGGATCCACCAATTGTGCTTTATTTAATATTGATGTAATATTCTATGTCCTCTGTGTTTCCTGCATTTTCTTGAAGGTTAATTCTTTTGTTCAATCTAGTATTTCTTTTTCATTGTTTTGATTTTCCTCAATATTAATTTTTAATATCTATATGTGCAGATGAAATCAGTGGGCAAGAGTTAGCCCATGTACGTGGTTTTTATTGTTGTTGTTTCTTATCTTTTTTTTTTGCTTTTGTTTTTCGTCTTGACCAACATACTGTTTTATAATTTTAATTATTGTGTCTCTGATTTTCCACACTTACAACCTTCAGTGGTCTACCACTCAGCAACAATATACTTTCATGAAATCCAGCACTTGTAGATATTTGATTTTATGACCTTAGTCAAGGATATGCCTTAATAGGTAGATGGAATTAAAGTCAATTTTCTCAGTCCAAGCAAAAATCACCAGTTGCCTAAAAACTAGAGCATCATGGTTACGAACCCCTGGATCTGGTAATTACGTTAGACAGAGGCATGTAGAAATGACTGCAAATTTCCTGATGGTAACTGGACTACTTGTTTTTGGAAACATGGCATCTTTACACCTTGAGGTACTGCACTATTTTTATTTAATTTAGTTATTTGTCTTGTCATGAACTTTCTGCCGTTTTTTACAGGACTATTTGACTTTTTCTTATTAACTCATCAGATCCCTTTATGAATAATGAATATTATCTCTTTGTGTGTTTCAAATGTTGCAGATATTCTCCAATAAATTACTTATTTTTAAAAGTTTTACATATGATATCATTTTTCATAGAATTATTTTACTATTATATGTGCAAATTTTTTCACCTCTTTTATAGTTCTGGGATTTTGTTCTTTTTTTCCTCTCTTTTTTCATTGAAGTATAATTAATATATAATGTTATATTAGTTTCAGGTGTACAATATAATGATTCAGTATTTCTGTACATTACTCAGTGTTCATCAAAATAAGTGTATTCTTAATTCCCTTTATCTATTTCACCCATCCCCTACTCATCTCCCCATTTCTGGAATTGTGAATTGAACTCTTAGGAAGACTTTCATACTCAATTTTTAAGAAACATTTCCCCATTTTTTTGGTTTTGTTTTTTGTTGCTTTTTTGGGGGGGCTTATATGTATGTTTTGGTACAATTGTATCTTTAATCAAACTCATATTTAATTTTGTATATTTTGGGAGGTAGGGAATCTGACTAATTTGAATGGATGGCCAATAAGCTGTTTTAAGTAAAATACCTTTATGTAGTGGTAGCAAACTCCAGTGTCCACAGGGACCAGGAATGTCTATAAATGTGTGAAGACATTGGTAGTAGAGCTAATCGTGATGAACTTGTGTGTGTGTTCCTCATAATTACGTTCAAATTTATGTTTTAAACAGTCACTGTCAGATCAGTCTGCCAGTTTGTGGCCTCTATTCTTCTTTTTCAATTTCTTAGCTACTGTGCAACATTTACTAATCTAGGGGATTTTCAGAATCAACTTCTCGAATCCCAGAAAATACACTGTTGGGATTTTGACTGGACTTGCAGTGAATTTACAGATTTCTCTAAAACATAATGTATTTCTTTCTAAGAATATAACATACAAATTAGTTTACTTAAGCCATCTCTAAGGTTATTCAATAACATTTCATAGGTATTCTTTCCTTTTAGGTATTATGCTTTTTTCTACTGACTCTATTCCTAAGTCTGTTTTAGTTTCCTGGATAATTCTAAACATGTTTTTTTTTTTTTTTGTCTTACATGTAAGATGAGAAAAACAAAACTTTTGTTTAGAGAGGTGTTGTTAAAAGACTTGTGCAGTTTGACGAACATGTACAGAAAGTTACAATAGACATAACCTGGAACTGAATTCCAACTTATTGCAACAGTGGAAATCATGGCGTAAAAAGTTTGCAAGTAAAGAGATATTAAAGATTTTTTGTCTGGAAGGAGAAGAGTATAGTTGTTGATCAATATTCCATTTGGTACAAATTTTAAAATATAAATTAATGACTTCTATTTTAACTTCTTTCTTTAAATTTAAAATCAATTTAATTAACATATAGTGTATTATTAGTTTCAGAGGTAGAATTTAGTGACTCATCAGTCACATATAACACCCAGTGCTCATTACATCACGTGCCCTCCTTAATGCCCACCGCCCAGTGACCCCATTCCTCCTCTATTTTAACTTCTAAAGTTAAAAAGCAGATAACAACTGAGGTTGATTGATTGATTGATTCAGAAAACAGGAAATGTGCTTATAATTCCAAAATGATAAGAATTGGGGAAAATATGTAAGAAAACCAGTAAGGCTCCTCAAATAAGCAATTTACGAATATGAACAGATACTTCACAATGGAAAATATCATGTTCTACTTTTCAAATAAAAAGTTTTGTATTAATTAATCATAATACTTTGTATAGGCTGATAACAATTTGGAATGCAAAATATGTACCAGAAAACCTAAAAATGCTTATACATTTAAACTCGTAATCCCCTGTACTGAAGTTTATCTAAGTGGAGAAATATTTACATATACTTAGATAACCATTGCCGTATTGTGTATAGTAGAAAAAATAAAGTAGAAAAAGAAAGAGATAAAAGTACCCCCGTAATAAGGGATTACTTGAAGTAGAAATATTATATGCCCTTGATATAATGTTATGAAGTTCTTAAAATCATTGTTGTGGAGAGTTTACAAAATTTACAAAAGACCTTAGTTTCTAAAGCTAGGAATTGAAAATTAGACCTCAGCATTACAAAAATAGCATGATTATAACTATGTGCAATGATCAATAATGAGTAGTTAAATATTAAAATACTGGAAGAAAATCAGTATAAATATTAACACATTATT